ATTAATCTACAAAGCCAAAGTGAAAGAGATTTCCAGTCAATGCCAAACTCAAAATAAAATAAAGGAGCACAGAGCATTAAAAGATAAATAAAATTAATCTACTGAAAATGCAAGCTACTGTATGTGGGGAAAGAGATCCAAAATATGTATAATCAATGAAAAGGAATAATGCAAAACTAAGTGTTGCTCCCCTTCTCTTGCACTGCAGATCCTCTCCCCCTTACCTAACCAGTCAAATAAAAAAAAGCATTAAAACTCCTGCATACAGGTTACATAGTAAGAAAGAAGATGTATTCAGCTCTGAAAAACGGGAGGCAGCTTTAGGCAGATGTGTTTGGGGGTAGGTTTTATTTGTTTAATTCAGATTTTCATGTGTTCTGAGCATATCAAAAAAGCACTCAAAGCCATAAGACTCTCTGTGCCAGCATTTAAAAATTATATCCTAAATACAAACCAGCAGGTAAGGGCTGGCTCAGAACGATCTTTCTGCACAAGAGTGGCAGCTGGGAGAAAGGAAAGGAGTGATTTATTTTTTTTAATCGCTCACGTAACTATACTAGTATAAGCTCTAAAATGGATGCTTTTATTTCCATGCAAAAGCTTCTGAATTAGCCTAAGCTAGACTGTAATAATCAGTAAAACAGAAGTATAATGACTATACTATATAAGTTTTGATGCTTTACCTATATGAGGATGAAGTGTTCCAAATTTTATGTGTACGTAAAGCTCTAGTCTCATAAAACAGGAGTAGAAGGAAAAGAGCCATGCCCTGGGGTTCTGCATGAAGAGCAATTTATAAAAAGCTACTAGAAAAAAACAGTATTTCCTTTCTCTCTCCTTTTTTCCTTAGAATAGACTTTTTTCTTTTCCTTCTTATATTTTCCAGAAAAACAGATCAACTTGGTTACTGAACATTACTATCTTAAATCTTGTGTTATTTAACTCCTTGTTAGTAGAATTTCTTCCCCAGTATCATCTAGGAGGGGTCTGGCTAAACTGGTCACAGGTTTCTCCCACGAGAAGTTGAGGTCAATAGATAGATCAGAAGTTGTTCTGATTTTCACTTAGCGCTAAAAAAATTTACTTCCAAGATATTATTTAATAATACTCCACTTTTCTTGTTGTGCATGAAAAGCTGCTCTCATCTAAGAATTTCTGAAGATAAACAAATACTGACTTAAAAGACTTTTTTTTTAAATGGAAAGATATGAGCATGGGTTTAAATTACAAATCAAGTATCTTTAATATAGAGAGGTCTCCTAATACATATTTTAGGATGGAAAAAACTTGTTTCTTCACATTAATGATACCAATTGTGAATGGCTCCAATGTCATCGCTTTTATTTTCAATGTTATTTTTTGAAGGAAGAAATACTTCTGCACCTGTGGCGTTACCCTTCTCTCTCTATTCATGGGATTGAAGGAGCTTTTCATGAACCAGGAATTAAAACTGTCATTCCAGCAAAAGTCATTGGCAAATTCTCAATCCGTCAGGTCCCCCACATGGACCTTTTGGTTGTGAAACAACAGGTAAGAAGCAAACCTTTTCTTTGGCCTCTACTGTGTAACCTAAGTCCCTCTTAGCATCTCACAAATTTACACACGAAGTAGTAAACTGAACATTTCTAGCGTTCATCTGTTTCTGAGAGCAGAAGTGGGAATGTGGGTGTAAGCTTGAGTCGCAAGAAGCCAAATGCTTCTGAGTGCGACGTGTTTTCCCGGCAGGTGGTGGAGCACTTGGAGGGTGTCTTTTCCAAGAGGAACAGTCCAAACAAACTGAAAGTGTCTATGCCTTTGAGTGCAAAGCCCTGGCTCGCTGATGTTAACGATCCACTATATAAAGCAGCAAGAAGGGCAATAAAAACAGGTATGTTCCTCCTCTTTTCAGTCCTTAATGCGTCTGTAAGTGTGCAGGGGAATTGTGCTCATCCATAGAGCAAAAGGGATGTCCTGATCCAGTGCTACAGTCACATCTCATTGATGTATGCATCTTATTATTGAGGCCTCCACCTCTTGCTGAACTGGGGTGTATTGAATAAGAGTAGCCAGAAGACCTCGTTTAGTGTTTTTGTGTACTGATACAAAGCCAGAGGTCTGTAGAGTGCAGCTAGCTGATTGATGAAATCAGCTGGCTACGCACTCAAAACAATTCCTACTCAGAAGCTCTTCATGTTTGAACAGATAGCTGATATCTGGTAGCTGAAGACAGCACATTTATTTCATTTAATGAATTGATTCTGCCCATGTATTTCAGTTTTTGGAGAAGATCCAGATATTATTCGGGATGGTTCAACAATTCCTGTTGCCAGAATGTTTCAGACTATCACACAGAAAAGTGTGATGATGTTTCCGATCGGAGCAGCCGATGATGGGGAGCACTCCCAGAATGAGAAGATAAGCAGGTTTCTTTTATTTGTCTATTTGTGCTATAAGAGAAGTGGTAGAACTGAAGTCTCTGGGTACCCACACATAAGCACTGCCAGATGGGAAGGTTTGCTCTCCACTGAACAGTCCCAAACTACTGTCTCTGGCGAACTTGTTGCTGTCCCGAGCAGAAAGCAAAATTTCCAATCTAGCGCCCACAGCTATATATTTTTCATTAAGTGTTTACTCAGTCTTAAAATACATTGCACTGGCAATTTTCATTTCACTGCAAACTAAATTTGTCTCCGGTCTGAAAGACGATGATGTAGATGGGCACCTTTCTGTCACTGCACCAATTTCAATGTATTCCAGCCGGACATGCTCAGGCTAATGGTTAAGTAAGGATTTCAGTGGTTTTTAGTATAAATGGATATAAAGGTGTATTTATGTTACAGGGACCAAAGCTAGTGTAATTATATCAAAATCAGCTTAAACTTGCCACTTGTATTCATTCTTTGAGGAGCCATGGTAAGACACCGTTCAGCGTGTTGCCTGAACTTTTATGCAGCTTCTGAGCCAAGTCATGCTGAGCTCGAGGAGATGGAGAATCCTGCAATAATTCTCAAATTATTTTTTTGTTGTCCCTCAGTGTAGCCTCAACCCTTGTGGCTACAGACAATAGTAATTAGGGGACACAACACTGGAAAAAGTTTCCTCAGCAAATCCTTCAGAGGAACGCCAACTGCAGGATGTCCAGAATTTCTGTGCGCTTGGTTCTTTTTTTTGGGTGACCAATCCTGCAAATTCCTCTGAAGACTCTGAAAACTTCACTGGACTATGCCACTAATTTGGACAACAGAGCAGCCTGACAGGGCTTCATTCTCTCTCTCTCTCTCTCTCTCCTTCTTCATAGACACAGCTATATTGAAGGAACCAAAGTGTTTGCAGCCTTTTTCCTGGAGATATCAAAGCTACATCGAGACTTACATGAAATATCTAACACGGAGACCAACAACTGGTAGACCATCAAAAGAAAATCAGCAAAGGATTTTTTTAGTCTTAAGGTTTCTAAATTCCTGATCTGGAAAAACATATACGTCACATATTGAGTGAATCTGAATTGGAAAAAATAAACACCATGCTATTACTTGGCACACCACTAAACGGTGTGCATTAGTGCTCTGGTCAATCAAGTGATCTGATTCCTAATGCTGTGGAAGAGGGTTAGGGATGAGTCATTCTTGCTGAGTGGAGTATGTTACATTTTAGTTTTAGAATTCAGAGAAACAGGAATTTTGTAGTATATTTTATTAAAATGGTTTTATTTCTATTTTGTAATATGCCCATGCTCATGCCACCTAGCTCATATTTCAGTTTCTGAATATGAGCAATTTACAACATTGGCGTTTGCTTGTAACTATATACAAAATTTCACTATTTAATTATTTGAAGAAAGGTCCACTATCATGTTAATCTCTTTCCTGTACTTTACAGAAGGCTGTAAATAAGAAATGCAATACGATTTGATGCAAAGACTTGCCTATGAACGCTTACCTATGGGAATAATCACTGAGCTCAATAGAACTGCAATAGTAAATAACATTTCCAGGTCCGTGTTCTGCCTTTCCTCCCCCTTTTAATCTAAATCTCCTCTTATTGTGCTGTGGGCACAGTTCTGAGAATCACTACATAATATGTTTCCTTAATATGATTTTCTTTTTGTACAACAGAAGGTTCTTGTAAACATCTGTTCTGGCCAAAGTCTGTCATCAGAAGCGTGTTTTTTCACCCAGTTAGCAACTGGTTGTTGCTAATTACTTTTAATGCATCAGTTTACATTGATAATTAAATCAAAGGCAAATGATGTATTTTGAAATCACAGCAAATAGCTAAGAGTTCTGTTTGTTGTTTAGGCAAAACACCTAGCGCTACAGTTAGATAATTCACACCTATATATTTTTTTATTTAAAAATGTGATTTTTGTTGTAATACAGTTATTTCACACACAACCAAACTGACTGAACCAGATTTAAAGAAAAGCTTAATAGTGTTGTCCCTACTGTTAAAACAAATGACATATTGATTAAATTATGGAAAGTAGTTGGTATCTTTCCTTTCTCTCCTGCTCCCTCTCCTGCAAAAACCTGCCAGAATAAAGGTGATTAAGGGCATAAAGTGTGGATGTGGAGTCTATAGAAGGGAATACTGTACCACAGATGACGTGTATGAACAGCTGATGTGGAAAGTTATCAGGATAAAAGCCTTGGCTGAATTTGAAAAAATAAACAAGCTTCTGATTTTTAGTAGCTCCCCTGAAATTCCTCAGAGCTGGACACAAAGGTAGGGGACCTTTTAAGAAGTCTGGGAGCAGGAATAATCTGGGACACTCGGGTTTCAAACCAGGTTCTCAATAAACCCCCGTTTTCAGACTTCCATGGGGCTGTGGGGCTCGCAGTTTGGCTGCAAGAGCTGAGTAAGGACACTGGCTGGCGGCGGCGTTCGGGGGGAAAAGGAGGACCCAGCTCAGTCCCTTTTACCTGTTAGCTCGGCAGACTGTGTAACCGCAGTGTAACTTCTGGTGCCCACGTCAAGAAAGAGGACTCCAAGACATGGACTGAGCCTCCAAGATCAGAAGACTCCAGTCTGCACATCGTCAACTTGCAGAACAGGTCCTCTGCAGTCTCTCAGCTGCCTTCGCCTGTTTAAACCATTTAGGAACAAGCACGGTAAGGAACGCTGCAGGCGAGAGCAGTCCGGCGCCTCCAAGGGACTCGGGGCAGATCGGTCCATGCTTAAAAGCTGTCGCTCCATAAAGGTAAATGATTGAATTTTCCTGAAGTATTTAAGGACATACAATTGACTTAAAACATTATTTGCAATCTCCTGTTTTGCAGTGGCTTTAAAAAGTGACTTCAGCCATCACTGAAAGAACAGCTACTCATACATATGAGCCCTTTGGCAGAAGAGTAGAAAACTTGGTGAGATGTTGGAGGTGGTGCGTTTCCTCACACAAGATGGATGAAGGCTGTGTTTCCAGGACTACGACTGCTTTGGAAACAGTACAGTCCACGCTGTCTATGGGCTCTACAACATGAAGAAGCGCAAATGAAGGTGGGCTTATGCTAGATGCAGTTTTTTCTGTTGCTTTTTGGAACACCAAATAAATTACAGCCAACAAAGACAGCATCATTTTATAAGCACAGGCACTATCAAAGCAGTGCACTGAAATAAGGTTCTGCTCTGAAATAGCCACTCGCTGTCAAGTTAAAACCATGTGTGTGAAACCAACGAATTATGCAGACCATCTTCATGCCTCCTTCAGTCCCAGAAAAGAGAAATAGCAGGCAACTTCAATGTCAGATTCTCCTGGTCATGAAAGAAAGCACTGGGGGAAGCCACTCAGGAGTATCCAGGGCTGCTCTTTTCCTGCTTAGATCAAGACAGGGTATCCACCAATCACCATGTCTTTTTCTTTTTTTCTGGTGTGGAGCATTTCATCAGCCTTTTGAAAAAAAAATTTTAAAAATGGTGTTCAGTTTTCTCAGGTCTGTGCTGTTATATACCACTGCTAGCAATATTACTTCTTGGTTGCGTTAACAGCTCTTTGTTGCCACAGTAAGTTACAGATAACTCTAAAATAATAGTGTTAGAAATAAGACTCAAATTTGCTTCTATTTGTTAGCTTTATTCTAGATATGCCATATCCCATGTCAGAGCACATTAGATATTCTCTAATCCTGACCAACTAATTACAAACCTCATATACACACTTTGTGTGTGTACATATGCATATGCATGTATCTGTGTGTGTATATATATACACACACAAGATCTAATCCTGACACTGTTATTAAAAAAAATTGCTTGTTCATACTGATTCAGGTTTTTCTTATTAAGGGTTGAATAATAGCTTTTGGTTTCAACCAATTTATGTGCAAAACTACAAATGCTACAATATGTTTGTTAGCACAGTTTACACAAAGTCACAGAAAAGGGACACCTAAGAGAGGTGACTTTTCAGTGTAAATTGGACTGGTTAAACTTTGTTCTAGACTAATTTTTACACTGTGATCAAGGTCTATTTTTAATCTGTGTTTACTTCAGGGTACCTCTTCACAGTGAAACCTAAGTACTGTTTGTTTCACGTATCATATTCTATACAATCATATAAGATGGTGCTTTGCTGATTAAACCTACCCAGGTAGTAAGAAAACAACTTTGTGGGGATGTCCAACAGCAGCATCTGTATCTTTGAAAGCTTGATTGAGGTATCAAGACTTGGATGCCTAGTGCCACCAGGGATGTCTGAGAAACACGCCCCACGGGTGGCAGGCACAACTCGGGCCCTGGGTGAACGCTGCCAGGGGAGCGAGCGGCAGGCGGCCGCGCGTGGCGGGC